TGGATCCGTTCCAGCTTGATGATGTGCGTTTTAGCTGCCGACTGGAAGCAAAAACTGCCGTACTCTAAAACCGATAAAATCGTTGTCCGGTACAACGTCAGAAGATCTTGTGGATGGGCTCCCCACCACGTTCCGGTAATTGATCGAAGGAAATTGATCCTTAGTTGGCATTTTCGTCTCAGATACTCAATGTGGGATCTCCAGGTGCATTTGGAATCGAACCAGACCCCGAGATATTTAAAGGACATGGAATGAGTGATCGGTTTACCCAAAAGTTGAAGCTTCGGTTGTGCTGGGCTATGCTTCCTAGAAAAAACGACCAACTCAGTTTTCTCCGTGGAGAATTCGATACCTAGCTGAATAGCCCAAGTAGACAAATTGTCCAAGGTATCCTGTAAGGGTCCTTGCAGGTCAACCTCTTTTGGCCCTGTGATAGACACTACGCCATCATCTGCAAGTTGTCTCAACGTGCAATTGTCACTAAGACAATTGTCAATTTCTCTAACGTAGAAATTGTACAAAAGGGGGCTTAAACATGAGCCTTGGGGGAGACCCATGTAGCTAAATCGAAAAGCTGTAGAGTTTCCATGAGAAAAGCTCATATGTTTTTCTGACAGCAAATTGTACAAAAAATTATTAATTAATGGAGACAATCCACAAACGTGGAGTTTCTCTGAAAGAACTTCAACGGATACTGAATCAAAAGCCCCCTTGATATCCAAGAACACAGAAGCCATTTGCTCTTTCTTAGCAAAAGCTAACTGAATTTCCGAGGAAAGCAACGCGAGACAGTCGTTCGTTCCCTTACCCCTACGGAAACCAAATTGAGTATCTGAAAGAAGGTGGTTCGTCTCAACCCATTTGTCGAGGCGAAAAAGGATCATTTTCTCCATCAATTTCCGAATACACGACAGCATCGCGATGGGCCGATACGAATTGTGATCCGACGCGGGTTTATCAGGCTTTTTAATGGCTATCACCCTTACTCGTCTCCAATCGTCGGGAACAATATTGAGCTCCAAGAACTGATTGTACAAGTTCAACATGCGCCTCTTAGCGACGTCTGGGAGGTTTTTCAGCAAGTTGAACTTGATTCTATCAGATCCCGGGGCAGAATTGCCACACGAAAGGAGAGCGAGCGAAAGTTCCACCATTGAAAAAGGCTGACTGATTTCGTCTACCGAATTCGCGGTTTCGCGAGGGATCAACTGCGACGGCACGGAATCCGGACACACTTTTCGCGCGAATTTAAGAATCCATTGATCCGAGCATTCCTCGCTTTCGTTGTTAGTAGACCGGTTACGCATTCTTCGCGCCGTACTCCAAAGCGTATTCATAGACGTTTCGCGCGACAATCCGTCTACAAACTGCCGCCAGTAACCCCGTTTTTTGGCCTTGATGAGGCTCTTGAGTTCGCGTTCAAGAGATGTGTATGCGTCGAAATGCTCGCGTGTTCCGCGTTTCCGAAAAAGTTTAAACGCGTCGGACTTTTTACGGTAAACCTCCGTGCATTGTTGATCCTACCAGAGCGATGGTGTTTTCTTACGGATTGACGATCGTGGCACCGGTCGTGTTTGAGCTTGAAGTGCGCTGTCGACGATGAGATTAGAGAGGAAATTATATTCCTCCAACGGCGGAAGCTCTTCCACTGACGATACTGTATCGTCTATCGCGGATTGGAACTTAGTCCAATCAATGTTACGGGTTAGATCATACGCGACGTTAACGGATTCTGACGAGTCGAACCCACTGGCAATCGAAATTTTGATCGGCAGATGATCACTACCGTGCGGATCCTGGATTACATGCCAAGTGCAATCCAACGATAGTGAATTGGAGCAAAAGGTGAGGTCTAATCTGCTACCATTCGAGGATGGACCAGCCAAACGTGTTACTTCTCCATTGTTAAGTATTGTCATGTTGAAGTTGTCGCAGAGATCATAAATCAAAGTAGAACGGTTATCATCGTACAGCTCCCCCCAGCCTGTACCGTGGGAGTTAAAATCTCCCATGATCAACCATGGAGCGGGAAGTACCGCACATATGTCGAAAAGTTGTTTGCGATTAACAGAGACTCTAGGAGCAATATATACAGAAGCAATACAAAGGCTCTTACCTTTAATGGTAGCCTGACATGCGACAACTTCAATACCGGGGAATTCGGGAAGATTCACTCTATAGAAGGAATGGCACTTTTTGATCCCCAAAAGTACCCCTCCTCCACGTGAATCCTCACGATCCAATCGAATAATGTTGAAATCAAAAAAAGGGAGATCAATTTCTGAAGAAAGCCATGTTTCACAGAGGGCAAATGCATCGCAATTATTGTTATGGACTAAATACTTGAACGAATCTAATTTCGGAATAAGACTTCGACAATTCCACTGTAGAACAGTGATCAAATCCCCGACCTCGTTTGGAAAATTATCCATCGAAGGAGATGATAGCTGCAAGAAGGGGCCATTTTGAAGTCAATTGCTTCAAGAAGGATTTCACAGTCGGAAGCAATGTGAGGACAATGCTTTTCAGAGGATCAGAAATGTTGAGGTATTTGAGAATACCGTCCACAATGTCATCAAATGAGAACAGCCCAGATGAAGAAGGGGTTTCTGTTCTTAAAATTGGGGCATCAGGGGTTTTGGATGTCCCCGGAAGAGGTGGAAAATCCTGGGTATAATCAGTTCTGCGGAATCCAGGAGGAGTAGAAGTCTCCTTTTTTCCACCACTCCTTGATTTGGACAAGCTGATTTGGGGTTCTTGATCTGCAACTTTCCGCGAACGGATGCGTTTTCGTTTCCGGGCAGAACCTTCCGGAAAACTGAAAGAAACTCCCTCCTCAGCCAAGTCAGAGCCAGACTCGTCATCTGACAAAAGAGCGAAGGGATTTGTTTCGTTGGTCGATGGCTTGGCTGTCTTAAGCATTTCTGCAAAAGACCGCCTGGAACGTTCCTTAAGAGAGCGTTTCATTTTGTCCCCGAGCTGTTTGTACGCCGGGCACGACGAGAGAGCATGAGGAGGAGTTCCATTGCAGTACACGCATTTTGGTGCAGTAGCTGCGCAGGCGCCATCCTCATGCTTCTCCCCGCATGTGGAGCAGCGTGCCTTGTTGCCGCAGTGGGAGGCCGTATGTCCCAACCGCTTACAATTCTGGCAGTTCATGACCCGAGGTACAAACAACCACACAGGAAGACGAAGTTTTCCCAGCTCGATGTATTGAGGAAGGGCAGATCCAGAAAAGGTCACCCGAAACGAGTCTGTGGGGGTAAAACTCTTTTTACCCTCGCTGAGCGATACTGACTTCATTCTATGAACGGCCAGTATCTTTACCGGAGGAAGCAAGGGGTTCTTGAATCGGCCAACCGCTTGCTTCTCCAGTATCTCGGGGTTCAGGCTCGCCTCAGTGACCACGCCTTCGATCTCCACATCAGAGGCTGGAATGTACACCCTATATTCCAGTGTGAAAAACTGGGAAACAGCAATTTCATTGGCCTGTTTCAGGTAAGCGACGGTCACACGAAGTTTGTTGTGCCTAACCTTCGTTATTTCGGTCACTGCAGAGAATCGCTTTGTCAGATCATCAGATATCTGAACAACATTCAAGGGTTTGTTTTTGGGCTGAAAATAGACAACCCATGGGCCAGTCGAGTCATTCGGGTAGGCCCGCAATCTGGAGCTTTTCTCAGCCTGCCCATTGTCAGACTGAGACGACGAACCAGGGATGACATCATCATTATTCTGAGATGAATGGTCATCCATGTCGTCTTCTGACAAAACATCCATTTTGTTCAACTAGTGGGAGCGCAAAACGCTCTCCCACTGAACGCACAAACACAATACACAGAAAACACTACAAACACAGAAATACAAAATGAAAATTTAACTAATGGGGGAGGAAAAGAAACAAGAAAAAAACAAAAACTTATCTGATAATCCTATACTACTACCACCGAGCGTTACATGTGTAGGCGTTTACACAGATGGCTGGAAGAGACGCGCTGCGTGGATGACCTTCGTTGTGGTGCACTTGATCGAGGCTCGGTACTCAGCGCACACAGGCGCACGATGATTGATGAACGATGTAGATGTAGAAACGGGTGCTCACACTCGATGATGATGATACGTAAGCGGGTATGCGTGAGCGCGTATGCGTGACCACGCAACGATGATGCCCAAATTGGTTTGCGAATTACCAATAGCACGGATTAATCGTTCCGAAATTGACACTTTCTACTACAAAAAAACTCACTTTTCGATCAATTTACCGGGAACTATGCCAGGAGTCACTTAGTGAGAAAAAAACTGATAATTTATATCAAGCGAATACCGAGAAAACTTCCAAAACAACGGAGCGCGAAACAAGTCGACCGTACTTCTTGCTAGGACGCAGTGAGATGCTGGTTTCATTTGTAAATGATATCGTTTCGCAGCGAATTGACTCAACAGAACTTTTATCAAAATTAAACTTCCATGCACCCACTCGGCAACTCCGAAATCGAAATTTATTTGCCATAAAACATCATCGCACAAATTATGCAAAATATGGGCCGCATGATGGCCTCTTACAATAAACACTGCGAAACCATTGACTTTACAATGTCCCGGCATAAACTAAAGCAATATTTTTATTCCATAAGAAATAACAACTAACAAGCTGACACTACTTTTTTTATATAAATATAAATTTAAGAAAACAAAACTGTATTAGTTGTACTAGTCTACGTTGGTTGACGAAATAAATAAATAAATAAATAAATAACTTTATGCTTGTAAAGTACATGTTATACAAGTCAAATGAAGTCCTTTCAACACCAAAACAGCCCTCCAGAAACACTAATTGTGGAAGTCCTGTAAATTTTCACTCCAATAATATTTGGTTTGCTGATCCAGCCTTCTGGTCGATATGCCATAAATGATATATCGGAACTACGGAGTTCTAAGACCATATTTGAATTTTCCATCTTACGAGAATTTATTATAAGATGCACTAATATAACAATCACCTTCTGTTTTCGCTATCTGCAACCAGACTACTAGCACTACACCGAGAACGTGGGGAATCCCCCGAGAAATGTTCATTTTTGTAAACTTGCTGCTAACGATTTGAAGCACCACGGCAAAATGCGGAGCCTGCCTGGCCGAAGCATGGTCCTTAAACCAGATCTTCTCAGAAAATTCAATCAAATCTTCTCTCTGCTGAATTAACCGTCTCTCTTTCTCTCTCGCTCTCTCAAACGGATCTTACAAACCTTCAATGATTAGAAGAATCCTCGATGCCATTCAGTCAGCTTAGCTCAGTTGCAAGAAGCGTTCGAACGGTTCCAGGCGTCTAAAGTTCTTTTGTTGGTCTGTTTTCGATCGTGAATAGCTCACCGCTGCGCGCAGAGATGGGTTCAAAGGCTATCGGCAGGGTATTCCCACTGCTGGTGTTATTTTTATTTTTCTTATGTTTACTGCTGCCCGATCATCAATGTTTGGCTGCTGCAGGTGGTGAATGATCATTTTATTTAGGAGAAATGAAGGTATTCAAATGGTTTTATCGTGATTTTCAGTGCCTTGTGGACAGCGACAGATCAGCCATATGGGATTCATATTGGGAGGAAAATCAGCCCGGGAAGCAGATTGGCCGTGGCATGCGGCCATCTTCACAAGACAACGATCCGGTCAGGAGGCGTACATCTGTGGAGGAACTGTTATAAGTGACAATTTCATACTAACAGGTCAGTGGAGGTTTCTAAAATGGTTTAAAAAGAAAACCCAAACATTCACTTTCTGGCCGATCCACACGAAAAAATATACTTTCAAATCTGACTGACATTTACGAGCGTCAATAGTCGAGTAACGAATTGTTCAGTCTCGGAGCATTTAATTTCACATGACGTGTTTGTGTACGTCTCATCCTTTGTGTCAAAGATGGTTATTTCTAAGATATTTCTAAGTGTGTATGGTTTTAACCGAGTTCTCTACTTACAGCTGCACATTGCACCGTAGTCTTCCGAGAGGTTCTTCCGCCGGAGAGTTTCACCGTAAAAGTGGGTCTTCACAACAAAAGCTCCCCGAGTGAGCATTCCAGAACCTATGAAATCGTAGAGGTGATCCGTAACGATGAGTTCAGCATAGACAATTTGAAAAATGATATCGCACTGTTGAGGACAGAAGAAGACATTACCTTTTCGGATTACATTCAACCGATATGTCTGTGGCCCCAGGAGAGGTCGGATTTGAATTCGGTTATTAACTTACCGACCGGTGGATCCGTCGTAGGATGGGGAATGGGAGATGAGCTTAAGCCCATGGACATTCTGCAGGAGGCCAGACTGTCCGTGGTGGATTATGCTACTTGTCTGAAAAGCAAGCCGGATCATTTTAGAAGGATACTTTCTAATGATGCGAGCAATTACTGCGCTGGGAATCCGGCCAACATGACCAATGTTTGTGATGGTGACAGTGGTGGTGGGATGTATTTTAAACTTGACAATGCTTGGTACATTCGTGGTCTGGTGAGCGCTGGAGTCCGTTCCGAAATATTAGGACATTGTGATCCTCAACACTATGTCACTTTCACGGATATACCGTACTATCTGCGATGGATCGTTGCCCATCAAGAAGTCGTGAAAAAACGAAATCTACTAAATTTGGGAAACTGTGGACTTGATGCACACAACATTACGGTGGACGAAGAGGATAAGCCGGTATTTCTACAGTATCCTTGGACGGCGATTTTGGAGTTTAAAGCCACAACATCACCGACTGTTAGCACGATCTGCAACGGAGCTCTGATTCATCCCCAATTTGTGGTCACTGTGGGTCATTGCGTGGATAGCGATTTCAAGAAATACAAACTGTAAGATACGGCAGTTTTTGGTCGTCACAATTGTAACTTTTGTTATTTTTCAGCCGATCTGTTCGCTTGGGAGAGTACAACATGAAAACGAACCCGGACCAAGAGAAGCATTCCGACGGGAAGGAAATATCCACCAACTTTCAATCGATAGATGTTGAAAAAATCTTCATTCACCCCAATTTCAACAAACCGCGATATGATAATAATATTGCTATTCTGAAGCTGAAAATTCCAGCCGATATTGCCAGACCAAATGTGAAACCAATTTGCATTCCAACCGTGGAAGAGTACAACGAGGGGTTCACTATCAGTGGGTGGAAGCGTGTCGGTCAGAAAGCGCACGTTTTGACGAGAGACTTCGTCATGCTGGAAAGTGCCGATACATGCAAATCCGTCTACAAAAAGATGAACATTGAAACCACGGCGAATCATATCTGCGGAACGTACTACCAGGAGGATTTGCGCAATTGTTTCCACTTTATGAGTGGGGCTCCGATGCAGTATGTGAAGCGTGCCGATCGGAAGAATCGTTATTTCCTGAAGGGACTGTTTTCGTTTGGATTCCCAGGATGCCAACTCAACTACACGGATGTGTTTACCAACATCAACAAATATGCCAGTTGGATTACAACGATCGTTGAATCGCAGAGCTAGGAGCAGAATTTGAAGCTCTTTTGTGCATAGTATGCAAGTCGTTATAGAATAGGTAATTGAGTTTTTTTCCTACAGAATTGAAAAAAAAAACAATAATGCCAAAGTATTAGAAAAGAGCTTCCAGTTCCCGGGGGTTTTAAGCATCCTGGGATTCAGGAAATATAATTTTGGGATTCCTTGGAAGTCCCGGGACCCAGGGAAGTAAATAAAAACCTTACAAACAATTGTAACCTTTAGTTTCAAAACAAATTTTGACCGATTTTCTAAAATGTTGCACTGTTCATCTCTTTAAAAAAAATTGAAAATACATTTCTTTAATACTTTTGTCAGGCTTTGACGAATACTTGCATAATTTGTAATGGGTGTTCAATAAATAATGAGAATGATTTCAGTGCCGTCCATCGCTCTTGTGAGAGCATCGCGACTATGTTGCGTCGTACGGCTGACCAGGGCCTCTTCTCCAATGTTCATTGACGTTTTTTGGAAGAATAAACATAATGTTTTTAATAAAAAATACTGAATTCGTTGATACAAAATTTTTTACTAGCTATATGACTGAAAAAGATTTTTATTGAACACCCGTTAGATTGATAAAGGGGTAAATGATGATTTCTGTTGGGTTACCGGACTCATCCCAACACCGTTTGGGGGGTAATAAAATACACTGCCATACCAAGGGTGGGAATTTTTGGGCACCCTTATGGGAGCGGGTCTAGGCGCTTCTATTGGTTGCTTCTTTTGAGTTGAATTTGGTTGGATCTATTGAGGTTGCTTCCATCCAATTTCACCCATCACACAGCACATTCGTTCATCCATCATTCACATATCACATATATTTTCACAATTAAATTTAACTCGTGGTTAAAAGTGACATTTCGACTGGTTTTCGAGAAGAACTTACCCAAGGTTGTCAAAATTTAACTTCTTGTCTGTCAGAAGTAACCACACTCGGATAGCAGGGTTAATCGATAACTTTCCGTCTGTCAAATTTTAACCAAAAGTTAAAATAATTCACCAAATGGTTTAGAGCATATTCTCTAATGCATCCATAACTTCAAGTGCAAAGATACATAGTAAACGATTGAGCAAACGATGCAACAGTCCAAAGCTTTATGATGGGGATCATACTTGTATTCGGATGAAATGATTTCGAAACCCATCGCTGACATGCGCGTACTCTAGCTGTGGTGTTGGAAAGCAGAATACAATAAAAAGCTTTCGGTCATAACGAGCGTTAGTCGTTATGCATTGTTTCCATCAAATTACTGGTGCTTTTACGGTGGCCATTCACGGTCGTTCAATCTCACTCAGAGAGAGAATAACTTCTACTAAGATGAAAGATAAATTAAGGCTGTGAACCATTTGCCGAGTTAAATTAAACTCGTGGTTAAAAGTGACATTTCGAAAGTTATTTCTTATGTTAGAAAATTCCTGTGTTACCCATGGTGACTGGTGTAACGGGTTGGTTAGAAAATAGATGGAAAGTGGGGAGAGCGTTCTTTGCGGTGGAGATAGGGGAAGAAATGTCACTATTTGACAGTAAGTAACTTTTTCTTTGACTGCATCCTGCATCCCTCTTGATTGATACGTACCAGTAAAACATATTGAAGTATTGCAGTTAGTTGGAAAAATCGTGGAATTTTACTTTTTCAATGTATGGAAATTACAACTTTCACTTAGTATTGATATCAAGGTATGTAGCATTTTGGACAGGATTTTCTTTAATACAATTTAAATGCTTCTAAATTATATTTTCAGATGCCGTATTTTTGTGCAGTATTAAACTGTGGCAACAAGGTTTCTCGTAACCCTGACGTTGTATATCATAATTTTCCTAGGAGTACAGAGCGATTTAAGCATTGGATAAGCTTCTGTGGACGAGAAAAAGGTTGTATTCCACAGAAAAATCAAGGAATATGCTCGAGTCATTTTAAAGAAAACAGTTATGATGATCGCTACCAAATGCGACATGAATTAATAGGTGCTAAAATGCGTCGAACATTAAAAGCAAATGGTAATCGCACCGAATTGCGTTATTAACAGATTTTAATCGTATTGTTTTCAGCACTACCAGGTGATTCATTAATAAATGCTAATTCTACTGCTCTGACGATTAATGAGCTACAATCTATTGAAATTTATACGGAAAGGACAGCTCGAGGTTTGTGTGAAATTTTCGGCCGAATGAAGTTCGAAGATTCGTAATGTTTCTGAATCACTGAACTATAGTTTGCGCTTTTTGAGGAATTCGACAAGAAATTAAGATGAATTTATGAAAAACAATTATGATGAAAAAAATATTATAAGATTGCTGAGCATCATCTAGTTGAACCCACTATTTTTACTGATGTATGTAGGTCAGGTAATTATTAACGGGATATTTTTTTTTTCTTTTTCAAAATATCAATAGATACGAACGGACCTGGTTTTACAAATACAAATTATGGAGCAAGCCTTCAAACAAGTACGACGAACTGTATGCAACAGGTAGAGGCACTAATGTTATTTAGATAGTGAACTAGCGGCAAACTGACCTAGAATCTGCTCAACGCATAGTCAACAACTTGGAACAGCTAGATCACAAACAAAGGCTCGTAGAAAAGTTGACAAATCAACTAGTTCTGACAAAACTTGAAACTCAACATCTACAACAACATATCACGACTTTGAAAGTAGCGAATAGTGATCTAGCTAGCCAATATGCTGCTGAAGGGAAAACATTACGTAAACGACTCTATGATATGGAAAAGCAGGTACAAATTTGTGAGGTGGAACATATTGATCGTGCGCTAATTGTTGAACATATAAGACTGGCCCTAAAAGTAGTGCTATCCGCTAATCAAATCGATGTTATTCTTGGACGGAAGCAGCACTCTCACTGGACTACTGAGGAAATATCAAAAGCTTTTGCTATACGGTTTCAAAGCAAACGTTGTTATCTGTATTTGAAAAACGAGCTGCATATTCCTCTGCCGAGAATTTCTACGGTTCAAGATTATGCTAGACGAATGGATTTGAAGAATGGTGTATTGCGAGATGTGTTAAGGGCTATGGATATTGTAGGACAGACAATGCTACCGAGGGATTTTGCTTGCATAATTTCGTTCGAAGAAATGAGTGTATGGAAAATAATGGAATTCGATCTAAGAGCAGATAAAATTGTGGGTCCGCATGCTCAAGTTGTTATGGTCCGAGGTATTTTCTCTAAGTGGAAGCAGGTAATCTTTATAGCGTTTGACCAAGTGATGACGCAAGATATGTTGACTAATATAATCAAAGATCTTCATAACATTTGCTACAACGTCGTTGGATTTACTTCTGATAACGGACCTGACAACATGTGTCTTCGTAAAACAATGGGAATTACAATCGTTTTTTCAAACATATTTTAATCACCCAATAACCAAAGAAAAAAATTCATTTTTGGAGACGCGCCACATAATCTTAAGTTAATAAGAAATTGGTTTGTGGGCGAAGGAATCATTTCGTTTGGAAAAATCGGACATTGAATACAAGACTTCTGCGTATGCTCATTGATGAGCGAGCCAATTGCGAACTAACGCCGATTTTTGCCCTTAATAGTGGACATTTGGAATTATCATCGGCAGAGAATCAGAATGTGTCAAAAGCTGCAAAACTTCTTTCGCACACAACAGCAACTGCTTTAAGAGAACGATTTCAGAACACAAATGAGGCAGAGGAAGCAAATCATGCTGCAGATTTTATCACAACAGTTAATGATTGGTTCGATGTATTTAATTCATGTAAGGCGTTTGCCAAATTGGAAATTAAACAATCATTTAGAGCAGCTGATCATCAGATTACAGCTCTCGAAAATATGTTAAGCCTGATGTCTGACTCTCGAGGAATAAGGAAAGGAGGAGTTGTTTGCAAATCTTTAGCAGTTTTTCAGAAATCTATTATAATTTCTATTATATCACTAAAAGGTTTGTTTGAAGACATAGAAAAAGAAAATATACAATTGAGTTTATCCCAAAATTTTAGGTAAACACATTTAATAGCAAAGGTAGTCTTGAATAAATATTCTTAATTTATTTGCAGCTGAAACAAGACCTGCTCGAAAACCTTTTTTCACAAATAAAATCAAATGGCGGTTTAGATGATAGGCCTTCACCACTTCAAGTGCTGTATCGACTTCGCTTGATTATTCTTGGCAAAAATCCAGGAATTACCCAGAGCAACACCAACACCGTAGACCAGGACGTGCATTGCGAAAAACGTGATGAATTTCACCGCCCAACTTTTCCACAAGGCTGATATTGCTCCAAATATTCCTGAAAAGCCTGTAGGTGATGTTAATGATGAAGGGTTGTTGAACAGCTCTTTGTACGAAAGTAGAATCGCAGTCCCGGTTGTTACAAGCGTGGTTGATAATGGTCACCAGCTCGCGGAATCGTTGTCGTTGATTTCGGTTACTGCTGACATCATCGTTAGCTCCCAGGAGAAGGACGGTTTCATTTACGTTCTAGGATGGATTGCTTTTAAACTGCAAAACTCACACCCAGACGTTGGCGATAAGACTGCAAACGTAAAAACATATTTGAATCCCGCACACATGCCATCGTCATCTTTCATATGGTGGACTAACAGTTCCATCCCCAGAATTTAAATCGATTGGTAAAGTGATGGAAAAAATCTTTATTCTTAGTCACGGTACAGCAGGTTTTGATTTGAAAAGAAATGTAATTGAAACGGTAATGAATCGGATTCTACAACAATACCCGAACTTCGACAGGACAGTAGTGAAAAAGTACGTCAAAATCCGTACTATCGTGCGTATTCGATACGGAAATTTAGTTGAACAAGGCTTATTGAAACCAGTTGAGGAAACACTAGCATCTGAGGATTAGGGGCCTTCAACATCAAAAAGAAAACGAAAAATGCCTTCAGATTTGGTCAACAAGACACCATCGCAGCAAAACTGGATCACAAGTAAAAGCCATCTCGCTAAGAAATACTAAAAGTTGTGCTCTCAGTAAATCATAAAACTTGTAAATATATACATTATAAAATACAGAATAAAACTCGGTATAAAATAAGACTACCATCATTTGCATTATATCGCTACATAATCTTCAGCTGGTAGTGACTTGTTTTGTTCGTCAAGTGCTTCAGTTCATTTCATTTGAAGCAAAGACTTGTTTCAATTGACGCAATGAATGACTCGAAAACTGCTTCCTTTGTTTTTTTTTAACTTTCACTTCAATTCGGGGCTCATTCGACTTGTCGCAGGCATCAAAATATAGCATCCGGATAGTATCCACACAATATCGGTTGCCGATAGGGATGCCATCCGGATTATATGTAGAAACAATATATTATTTTATATTAAACGAACATTAAATTAACGAGGCCATTTTGAAGTCCAAGATGGTTGCCATCGGGGTCAGGGAAAGTCTCAAATACCCTACAATA